GGTCTTTCTCGCAAAACAGGGGAAAATACCAGCAAAATGGAGTCTCCAGCGCAAAAGGGAGTCTACAGCACTCGGTGTTCCCAGGCGGTCACCCATCCAAGTACTAACCGAGCCCGACGTTGCTTAACTTCAGTGATCGGACGAGAACTGGTGCTTTCAACGTGGTATGGCCGTAGACATTATATAGAAATTTTTCTGGCGGGTCTTTCTCGCAAAACAGGGGAAAATACCAGCAAAATGGAGTCTCCAGCGCAAAAGGGAGTCTACAGCACTCGGTGTTCCCAGGCGGTCACCCATCCAAGTACTAACCGAGCCCGACGTTGCTTAACTTCAGTGATCGGACGAGAACTGGTGCTTTCAACGTGGTATGGCCGTAGACATTATATAGAAATTTTTCTGGCGGGTCTTTCTCGCAAAACAGGGGAAAATACCAGCAAAATGGAGTCTCCAGCGCAAAAGGGAGTCTACAGCACTCGGTGTTCCCAGGCGGTCACCCATCCAAGTACTAACCGAGCCCGACGTTGCTTAACTTCAGTGATCGGACGAGAACTGGTGCTTTCAACGTGGTATGGCCGTAGACATTATATAGAAATTTTTCTGGCGGGTCTTTCTCGCAAAACAGGGGAAAATACCAGCAAAATGGAGTCTCCAGCGCAAAAGGGAGTCTACAGCACTCGGTGTTCCCAGGCGGTCACCCATCCAAGTACTAACCGAGCCCGACGTTGCTTAACTTCAGTGATCGGACGAGAACTGGTGCTTTCAACGTGGTATGGCCGTAGACATTATATAGAAATTTTTCTGGCGGGTCTTTCTCGCAAAACAGGGGAAAATACCAGCAAAATGGAGTCTCCAGCGCAAAAGGGAGTCTACAGCACTCGGTGTTCCCAGGCGGTCACCCATCCAAGTACTAACCGAGCCCGACGTTGCTTAACTTCAGTGATCGGACGAGAACTGGTGCTTTCAACGTGGTATGGCCGTAGACATTATATAGAAATTTTTCTGGCGGGTCTTTCTCGCAAAACAGGGGAAAATACCAGCAAAATGGAGTCTCCAGCGCAAAAGGGAGTCTACAGCACTCGGTGTTCCCAGGCGGTCACCCATCCAAGTACTAACCGAGCCCGACGTTGCTTAACTTCAGTGATCGGACGAGAACTGGTGCTTTCAACNGTGGTATGGCCGTAGACATTATATAGAAATTTTTCTGGCGGGTCTTTCTCGCAAAACAGGGGAAAATACCAGCAAAATGGA